CTTCAAGTCTGATATGAATATTGCTACCCCAGCTTTTTTTTCCCTCTCCATTTGCTTGGAGTATCTGTTTCCAGCCCTTCACTTCCAGTCTGCGTAGGTCTTTTGTTCCGAAGTGGGTCTCTTGTAGGCAGCATATGTGCAGGTCATAATTTCTTATCCATTCAACTATTTTTGATTGGAGCATTTACTCCATTTATGGTTAAGTTTGTTATTGATAGGGACTTATTCATTGCCATTATTTCATACTCGTGTTCCACTTTCTCTCACTTTTTTTCTTCCTGTTCTTAAAGCAGTGCCTTTAGCATCTTGCAAATGTGGTTTCATAGAGTTGTATTCTTTTAGACTCCTTTTGTCTGGGAAGCTCCTTATTTGGCCTTTTATTTTAATTAAGAGCCTTGCTGGATAAATTAGTCTTGGTTGCAGGCCATTGGTTTTCATTACTTAGAAAATTTCTTGCCATTGTCTTCTGGTTTGGAGTATTTCCATTGAGAAGTCAGCTGTTAGTCTTATCATGGATCCCTTCTATGTTATTTCCTGTTTCTCCCTTGGCACTTTAAGATTCTAATTTGGAATTTTGCCATTTTATGTATGATGTGTCTTGAAGTGGGCCTCTTTTGGTTCCTCTTGACTGGGACTCCTATGTTTCCTAAATTTGTGTAACTTTTCCTCTCATCAGATTATGAAAGTCCATCATTACTTTTTCAAACATGTTTTCTATCCCTTGCTATTCTTCTTCTGCTGGTACTCTTATTATATGGATATTATTATGTTTTGTGTTGTTTAGCAGCTCCTTTACCATCTCTTATTCTTTCTCAGCCTCTTTTCTGTTTCTTGCTCCTTCTGGGTGTTTTTTTCCTACCATGATCTCCAGCTTGCTTATTCAATCCTCTGCTTTATCCAATGTGCTTGTAATTCCTTTTCGTAAAGTTTTTAAAATATATATTTCTTATTGATTATGCCATTACAGTTGTTCTATTTCCCCCCTTTATTCCCCTCCATCCTGAACACCCCCTCCCCTACTATTCCCCCCTTTAGTTTATGACCACGTGTCTCAAGTTCTTTAGATTCTATATTTCCCACACTATTCTTGCCCTGCCCCTGTCTATTTTCTGCCTACTGTCTATGCTACTTATTTTCTGTGACTTCTCCCCCCTTCTCCTTCTCACACTGCCCTGTTGCTAACCCTCCATGTGATCTTCATTTCTATGGTTCTACTCCTGATCTAGCTGTACTCTTAGTTTGCTTTTGTTTTAGGCGTGGTTGTTAATAACTGTGAGTTTGCTGTCCTTTCACTGTTCATCTTTTTTATCTTATTTTTCTTAGGTAAGTCCCTTTAACATTTCATATAATAAGGGCTTGGTGGTGATGAGCTCCTGGAATTTGATCTGATCTGAGAAGCACTTTATCTGCTTCTCAGATAAGAATTCAAATGAAAGCTTTGCTGGATAGAGCAATCTTGGATGTAGGTCTTTGGATTTCATGACTCGGAATACTTCTTTACAAGAAGGCAAGCCCCTTCTTGCCTGTAAGTTCTCTTTGGAGAAATCAGCTGACAGTCTGATGAGAACTCCTTTGTAGGTGACTGTCCCATTATCTCTTGCTGTTTCTAGGATTCTCTCCTTCATTTTAATCTTGGCTAATGTAATGATGATGTGCCTCAATGTGTTCCTTCTTGGGTCCAACTTCTTTGGGACTCTCTGAGCTTCCTGCATTTTCTGGAAGTCTATTTCCTTTGCTAGATTGGGGAAATTCTCCTTTATTATTTGTTCAAATAAGTGTTCCACTTGTGGCTGTTCCTCTTTCCCTTCTGGTACCCCTATAATTCGGATGTTGGAGCATTTAAAGATGTCCTGGAGGTTCCTAAGCCTGTCCTCTTTTTTTTTTTTAAATTCTTGTTTCTTCATATTTTTCTGTTTGGTCATTTTTTCTTCCTTCTGGTCCACTCCCTTGATTTGAGTCCCATTTTCCTCTCCATCACTATTGGTTTCCTGTGCATTTTCCTTCATTTCAATTACTTTAGCCTTCATTTGTTCTTCTAATTTGTGACTAAAATCAACCAGTTCTGTGAGCATCCTGATCACCAGTGTTTTGTACTGTGCATCTGATAGGCTGGCAATTTCTTGGTCGCTTAGAGTTATCGGATCCAGGGGTTTGAATTCTTCTTGAGCCATGTTTTGGTCTGTTCAAGACTGTTACTTATGAGGAGGGGAGCCTTAGGTGTTCACCAGGGTGGGGCCACCCAGGTCGCTGGGTTGTGAGCCTGTATGTGGAGTTGGGGTCAGAGAGGGAGCAATAGAGGTCCCCTCTACTGCTTCCCGCTGCTGGGGCCTGTGAGGTCTGTCTCACTGCTTGCTCCTTTGCTGGTTTCTCTGCACGCAAATGTGTGACCGCGGTCAGCCTGCCACCTTGCACCTTCACTTGGTCTGCCTGTTGCTACCCCACACCTGGGATCTGCCCTTGGCTGCGTGCCTGGGTCAGGAGATGTTTTTTGCCCCAACCTGTTCAGCTGCTGGCTCCGCCCCTCTTACCTGTGTGGCTGAATTGTTCATTGTTGTTGGACTTTTCTATAGTTCAATTTTCTGTGGTTTGGCTGCGTTTTTTGTTGCTAAAACTTTGTTATTTTTAAACTTGATTGTGAGAGAAGGCACAATGTTTTTACCTACACCTCCATCTTGGCAGAACCCATAGTTTTTCTCCAGGTGTCTTTCATACTAGTTCCTGTAAAACCTCCCCCTTTTTCGCTTTAAATTCCCTCCCCTATCCCCTATGATCACTGTCCCCCTGTTCTATATTTCAGTGTCTTTGGTTATATTTTGCTTACTTGTTTGTTTTGTTGTTTAGCTTCCTGTTAAAAGTGAGATCATATGGTATTTCTCTTTCGCTGCCTGGCTTATTTCACTCAGCATAATGCTTTCCAGTTCCATCCATACTGTTGCAAAGGGTAGGAGCTCCTTTTTTCTTTCTCCTGAATAGAATTCCATTGTGTATATGTACCATCATTTTTTGATCCATTCATTTGATGATGGGCACCTAGGTTGCATCCAACTCTTGGCTATTGTAAATTGTGCTGCTATGAACATTGGGGTGCATAGGTTCTTTTGGATTGGTGTTTTAGGGTTCTTAGGATATAATCCTAGCAGTGGAATTACTGGGTCAAAAGGCAGATCCATTTTTAGTTTTCTGAGAAAATTCCATACTGTTTTCCATAGTGGTTGTACCAATCTGCAATCCCACCAATAATGAACTAGGGTCCCCTTTTCTCCACAACCTCTCCAACACTTGTTTGTCGCTTTGTTTATGATGGCTATTCTGACCAGTGTAGAGTGGTATCTTGTTGTGGTTTTAATATGCATCTTTCTGATAGCTAGTGATATTGAGCATCTATTCATGTGTCTCTGGATCTTCTGTATGTCCTCCTTGGAGAAATGTCTGTTCAAGTCCTTTGCCCACTTTTTAATTGGTTTTCTTGCCTTCTTAGAGTGGAGTCGTGTAAGTTCTTTGTATATTTTGGAGATTAAACCCTTCTCTGAGGTATCATTGGCAAATATGCTTTCCCATACAGTTGGTTCTCTTTTTGTTTTAATACTGTTTTCTTTAGCTGTGCAAAAGGTTTTAATTTTGATGAGATCCCATTTGTTTATTCTTTCCTTTATGTCCCTTGCTCTAGGGGACATATCAGTAAAACTGTTGCTGCATGAAAAATCTGAGATTTTCCTGCCAATGTTCTCATCTAGGACTTTAATGGTATCAAGGCTTATCTTAAAGTCTTTATCCACCTTTAATTTATTTTGGTGAATGGTGTAAGTTAGTGATCAAGTTTCTTTTTTTTTTTTTTTGCACATAGCTGTCCATATTTCCCAACACTATTTGTTGAAGGGGCTATTATTAGTCCATTTTATGTTGCTGCCCCCTTGGTCAAATATTAATTGATTGTAGAGACTTGGGTTTATTTCCAGGCTCTGTGCTCTGAATTTCTCTTGGTTGGAACCATTATGAATCATTGAAAACCTTTGAAATCACTTCAAAATTAGCATTGTTCTTACAAAGCTTGTTTTAGGCAAACTCTGTCTAATATGTATCCAAAGGTAGGGCAAGAAAGTAATTTCAGTAGAACAGAAAACTCCGTGCTTTTTTCAGTTTTTCAACTTAGACTTTCCTACCACTTCTTTTGAATTTTTTTTGCAGTGTCACTTCTCTGGTAAATATGACAGCAAAAGATTTACCAAATCACTTGTGTCCTAACATATGAATGCTTGCATACACCTATGCTATCTGTGAAATGGAGGAAACATCTAAGCCATTGTTTCCTCCTATATGTTTCTTCTAAAAGAAAATTGTAGCCTAACTAAGAAATGTAAGTAGTATGTACTACATGAATTGGCCTTTATAAATTTGTGAGTGTTAAGTGAATGAAAAGTGAAGGTACACTTTGGGGTCTCCATTTGCATTTTATCTGATGGCACAGTAGTGCTGAACTTTCAGTCCTCCAAATCACAAGGGAAAACAATATTTTGTAGGAAGAGGGTTTTCAATAAATGCCATCTACAGTTTTGTACAGCCTATTAGTACTCATTTTAGTAGAAGACGAAATGATAGGTGTCTCACATAGAGCCTTTTCTTTTCAGCATGCTGGTGAAAAATCTTGATATATCAACTCTGTGGAGTGTACGAGAGAGAATCAGCTACTGAACTTTATCATTTTACAGTGAGCGAATGGTAGCCTAGGTCTTGGTGATATTTGAATGAGAATATGTTTTTGGTGTAGAGTTTTCCTGTGTGTTTTTTTTTTCAATCAGAAAAGTGTATCCCACTTAAGACATGCAAGTACAGCTTTCAGTGGGTTTTGGACAAAACAGTTTTGTGACTTTTGAAATTAATATGAAACGAATGGTCCACTTTCTGTCACCAATTGCATTTTTCTTTGATAAAATTAAATGAATTGTTTGTACCCTTCCAAATTGAAGGTCATATATGTAGTTCAATAAATAAACTCCATGATGATCGCTTCTCGGCCTTTTGGCTAAGATCAAGTGTAGTATCTGTTCTTATCAGTTTAATAAACTCCATGAAACATTGAACCAAATTTGTGATTTTTCCTGTGGCTTCCCTGTAGCCCTCATATATTTTAATGTGGCTTCAACAAGGAAAAAATTTGTTACCAGGAAATGAGCATACATAACTTCTTAACCTGAAAAGGTTACTTTTCAGGTGCTTTACCAAAGTTTGATTTGCCACAGGACATTTAGGAAAAAGGCAGAGAAATTCTCATGACAATTTAGAAAGTTATAAATATGAAGAATCACAGTATTTCCATTGGTATACTATGCATAGCAAAGCCCCAGGTATACACTGGCCATGGTTCATAAAGTTAATCCTACTAAAAATTAGAAAAAAATTTTAACTACACACTTTAAGAGAGGCAATTTGAGGCTGGAAGGGATGATCAATATTCTCACATAGTAGCTAAAGATCGACAGGGTCATCTTGCACTGTGGAGAAAGCCAGTAATTACCCAGTGAAAGCTGGTTCAAAGTACACTGTGTAGTATTAAATGCCATTCAGTTTAATAGCTAGGTAATCATTTACATGGATGTTCTACATTGAATGGCAAGTACAACTGATGCCTAGTACATCGTTTTCTAATGCCTCCTGGTTAGGTGCAAGTTTCATTCACAGATAAGCTGGTGTTATCTTCACACTAAGTAATCAGAAAAGAGACATAATGCAGGCAACATCCCTAGAAATTGCCAAAAGGATCACGATGTGATCATTACCCAGAAACTCTGAGTTCCTTATGCACTTGGGTAGAAGAATGGATATTTTTAACATAAAAATAAAATATTCTGAGCTATAAATGTACAATTTCTGTTTACTGGTTAGAAAAAAATACATATAATTATTTTCTTCAGGGCATTTTGCTAGGTGAAGAACAAAAGATCTCCCTGTAAGAAGTCTGTCTTAAGAGCCTTCTCTCTTAGTATACCCTTACTATAGAGGGTATACTAAGAAGCGCCCTTAGTATAGAGACTAGAATACAGAAGCTTATAGACTTGAATGGCTGCTCAAGCTCCTTCAAGTCAGAACTGGCAGTCCTCTAAAACATAACTCTCCACATTTCCATTTAGCTACTGAGGCTCGATCTGCCCCTGACATGAAACAAAAATGATCTGCAAGATATCATCCATTTCCAATCTGGAGACACTGTGCAAAAAAAAAAAAAACATTATTATTACTTTTAAAATTTCAAGAGTGGATGTTGATTGTTTTTCCTTTACAGTAAATCAAGTTTTCATACCCTCATTATGAACATTTTGGATTTAGAAAAGGGGTAATTGGACAATTCAGTTGGCTAGATAGTCTGCAATAGGAAAAGAATTGGAGTCAAAAATCATATGAATAGAAAAGGTTTATGTGGCCAATGAACATCTGATAAATCTGCTAGTATCAACAAAACAAAGGGCTATGCAGGAGCGCTGAGCAGGCATGAGCACCCTGACAACAGGTAGGTTTAAAACTAAAAGAATAATTACACCTGCCTTGTAGGTCAGGTACCTACTAAGGAGCACATGAGGCCAAGCACACATTGAAGTTTCTCTCCCTCTCTTTCTCCTTTCTTTACAATATGTTGGGCACCGCTCAGCCTGGTTGCAGGAATTGTAACTATCCCCCGTGGCTAAGGATGAGTGAGTGACCTCCAGAATACTGAGCTACAGGAAACAAGGCTTGTCTCTGGTAGCAAATCCTGCCTCAATTTCCTCTTCTTGCCCCCAAAGCATGGTCAGAAGTCAATGATGGGTAAGACTCCTCACGGAGAGAGGGACAATCTAAGCCAGACTTGATCACTTGGAAGGCCATCATGGAAGGACTCAGGGGGTTGCAACAAAGAGTGAATAATAGACCCTTGCCCCCCATCTATGTGACATAGCCTGAGTCCTCATGTCCTCTGGGAGAAGCACTTCCTGGCTCTAATCCACTTAAGCCTGAAAACCTGATGGGGAGGGGTGCAGCTCCTTGCCTTGCTAGAGTGGATCCCAGGAAATCTGAAATAAAAAAGAATTCCTTAAAAATCCTATGAAATCTGCTCTGCTAAGAGTACTTTCATTCTTATGTTAAGGGTACAAGCAGGAAATGAGTAAGTCTCTCAAAGTTTCTGCAAACCCCCTTTCCTGACACTGACTCAGACTAAGCCCTTAGATTTCTTTGAAATGTTATCTACTATTTGATCCTTGCTGCCCTGTATTACTGTGTATTACAACCCAATAAAAGCCCCTGAAGGAAGGGGCTCAAGGCCTTTTTCATCTGAGAAACTGGCCACCTCTCCTCCCCAAGCAGATTATGTCATAGTAGTGTTTACTTTCATCCATGGTGGACGGGGGGACTTGTGGGAAAAGTTGCCCCCACAACAATATAAAAACAAAGAAATAAAACCTTAAAAAAAGAACTCAGAACCAGATGCATGCTCAGTTCAAGATGCAGGCATAGGAAGAAACCCTTCACTTCCTCACACAACAAAAAGAAGAATAACAACCAAACTAAAATCAATAAACAATCAGAAGTGCCACAAAATCAAACTGCATGGAATTATGACAATCAAGGAATTAAAGAAACAGTCAACCAAACCAAGCATACCAGTAAGACAGGCAGAAGGAGAGAGCCCATGCTGAGGCTTTGTAATGCACGGGCAGGGAATGCCTAGAGAAAAGTGGTGTAGTAGTGGGCTGTTTGGGCAGAACTGGATGAACAGAAAGCTGAGAATCAGACTTGACTGTGGAGTACGTTAGGGGTTGCCTTGGTGGAAGAAACTCCCAGTCTCACAGGAAGGTTCCTTGGAGAGTGGCTAGAACCAAGAAGGTAACTTCCATTGTTCCCTCTCTGGCCCCTCCCACATAGGGAGAAGGGGCAGAGGTGGGCTGACACAGTGGACAGTTTTGGCTGCATTAATGGGCAGGAGAGGCAGTGGCAGGTGGACCAGGTAAAGCAGCAAGTAGTGGAGCTGGTGATTCCACATTTTTGTCTGGATAAACTAGGAGGAACCCCTCAGGAGGGAGACAGGCCATGTAAACCATGGTTCCAGCATGGGGAAATAAAGCCTCAAAACCACTGACTGCAAAATCTGTGGGAGTAAAGGTAGCGGGAGAAATTCCCAGATTCACAGGAGGGTCCATTGGAGTGACCCACGAGGTTCTAGAATATACACAAAACCACCCATGCAGGAATCAGCAATGGAAGGGCTTAATTTGCTGGTGGGTATCAGAAGAAGTGAGGGAAAGCAGCTGAGAGTCTCACAAGCAGCTTTGGTCCCTCTCAAACCCCTCCCCAACATACAGCCCCACCACACAGTGATGTGGGTTATCTCCCCCCCATGCAGCAAATAACTAAGGCTCCACCCCTTACTACATAACAAGTGCTCTGAGGCCCAAAAAAGTTACTATTTGAATGAAAGAATAGATCAGAGCTCCAGAAAATGTACAAGTAAGTGATGAAAAGATAGCTAACCTATCAGATGCACAGTTCAAAACACTGATAATCAGGATGCTCACACAAGTGGTTGAGTATGGTCATAAAATGGAGGAAGAAATGAAGGTTATGCAAAGCAAAATAAAGGAAAATGTACAGGGAACCAACAATGACAGGAAGGAAACCTGGATGCAAATCAATGATTTGGAACAAAAAGGAGAAATAAACCTTCAACCACAACAGAATGAAGAAACAAGAATTCAAAAACATGAGGAGAGCCTTAGGAACATTTGGGAGAATTTTCAACATTTCAACATCTGAATCATAAGGGTGCCAGAGAAAGAGGAAGAGCAAGAAATTGAATACTTATCTGAAAACTTAATGAAAGAGAACTTCCACAACCTGGAAAAGGAAACAGAATTCCAGGAAGATCATGAAGGTTAGAGACTCCCAAGGAATTTGGACACAAGGAAGCACACACCAAGGCATATCATAATTACATTAACTAAGATCAAGAATAAGGAGAGAATCTTAAAAACAACAAGAGAAGAGGAGGCAGTTACCTATGAAGGAGTTTCCATAAAACTTTCAGCTGATTTCCCTAAAGAAACCATGAAAAAAAACAGTATGAACAATTACATACTAACACATTTGACGATCTAGATAAAACGGAGTTTTGTCAATAAGATACAGCTCCCCAAAGCTCAACTAGAAAGAAACAGCAAAAGTCTATAGAGCAATTCCCAGCAGTTAAAATGAAGCCATAATCAAAAGTCACAAAAAACAAAATCGCAAGACCAGATGGCTTATAGGTGAACTCTGCCAAATATTTAAACAATAATTAGTACATTTTTGTCTTCAAACTGTTTAAAAAAACACAGAAAAACAGTGGAGAGAGTGTATGAGTCCTTTGTCACAATGACTTTGTGTGTAAAGCAGTGAGAAAGTACTAGGACCTCATCTTGAGGGAATCCTTCCATAAATCTTCCCTTCCACTGTGCTTTCATCCCCAACCTAATTCATTTTGTCTGTCTTCTGGGATTGCTTACTTGCATGGCATGTGGGTGTAGACCCAGTTAATAGCCAGATGGCAATTTGACATTATTCTCATCCTGTCCGGCAAAGAATCCACTAGAAAAATAGGAACAGGTGGATATGTAAAAGATCATCAGAGGTATTGAAGAGAAATAATTTAGAGTCTCTCAGAAAATGTGATGCCTGTGGGAGAGGTAGGAATGTCACCAAGTTTTGCCATCCCTAGCACTTTATCCTCTATTCCCTAAGCGACTGCATGTCTATAAGGTGAAATGTACAGATTAGCCCATGATCACATCAATGTGGTTGGAATGGGAAAATAGAATTTGCCACTACACTTGATAGGGGTTTGACATTCTAAATTTATAAAGAATGTAGAAAATTAACACCAAAACAGAAACTATTAAATTTTAAAAATTAGAAAAGAACATGAATAAACACTTCTGCAAAGGGGGCATAAAAGGTCAATGGACATATGAAAAGATTCTCAATATCACTAATCATTAGAGAAATGCAAATTAAAAACTCATATTAATGGTCAAATGCCTTGTGTTTTGAAGTGTTTCCTTTTGATGCAACCAAACTTACACAGTGATTTGCATAGTCAGTTATTAATCAAAATCTTTTCTTTTTATTTTATTTTATTTTTTATATATTTTTTAATTAATTAATTTATTTTTTGAATTAATTATGCTGTTAC